ATTATTTCTGAAAGAAGAAAAAGGATATACAAACAGCAAAGAATGCCTTTATCATGTTCACCTATCACAAATCCGATCAAATTATTTCACAGCAGACTCAAGGCAAGTTTTGATTTATTCAACATTTAGACCAATATCGCACAAGAAATGAATATGGCTCAAATCTCACCGGGTATACATATGTATGAGTGTTAATCAAAGCAATCGAGCCACAAATCAAAATATGCCACTCAAGATCATCATCACAACTTCTCAACGTCATTAACCAATCATAAACTAGTCTCGATGTTCACCAATGTCCAACTCAAAAACACATGAACCTACACTAGACTGGACCACCAACAAAAGAGAGAAATAAAATCAACCCTAAAAAGAAAAACTAGACAGGTTTACCACGTAGTCACGTAAGCACGTAAAACTCCCCCACACTTAAAATCGGACAATGTCCCCATTGTCTACTCGCCGTGAATGAGAGTTGACCATATAATAAACCGACTCGAAATCAGAGAAGCTATACAAAAATAAAAAGGGAAAGAGAAAGAAAAACGTACAAAGCACAGTGACAAGTCACTGTGCGTCCGGTGGTGGCGGTGGGGGATGCTGGTACTGCCGTGCCTCCCAGGTGTCCCAACGGCTGTCATGGGCAGTCCAGTGCTCTTCGTTGGACCTCGTGAACTCTCTCCACTCCCTCTGCTGCTCCGCCCAACGTGCGTCGTTGGTTGCCACTAAGGACTGCCAGTTGGCAGCATTCTGCTCCGTGTAAGCCGTCCAACGCGCATCGTGATGCTGTATGTAGGACTCGAGGCGCACATTGTGCGATGACACCTCGGCGTGGATGGCTCGATACTGCTCGTCGTTCCGGGCCTGGTTCTCGTCGTACTGAGCTTGGAACGAGGAGAACCAAGTGGGAGCCTGCTGTGAAAATGTGTCCGAGTGGCTAAACATCGCCGGAGGGGGCTGAGAGGGGACGTGCTCGGGGTGTGCCTCGGAATCTGAGTCATCGGCTCCGTCGGGAGAGGTCGCCCGGGTATGGCCGGTGGATGTACCGGCTGGTAGCTGGGATTGGTTGGTCGGCAGGGGAAGACCCATTTCCCGACAATAGGCCTTGTAGCCGTCACGCTGGTGGACTGGGAGGGGGGTGGTGTCATCTATAAGGAAATCGCGGGAGAGATCCTTCCGGGAAATGTACTTGGCGGGCATCTTCGGTTCCTCAATATCAACCCCGAAGTACTCGGCCAACCGTGCCACCACATGCCCCAAGTTTGGACCGCGACGAGAGTCGTTCCGCACATCAAAGAGTGAATCCTTCAGATACTGCAACATGGTGACCGGCTTGCCTTGTGAGATCGACCAAAGAATGAATACCTGTTGGTCGCTGACCTTATTCGACTCCTTCTTCCCAAAGATCATGTGGGAGAGGTACTTGTGGATCACCACTAGAGATAAGTCGCTGATTAAACTCGAAGAAGGCCCGGGTTT